TGGATGTTTTTCATTGTCATACTTTAAGAACCAGACATCTTCGCTAGATCAAAATTCAAGACTCTTTAAACCAAGTGATTCACATTTACTTCAATGGTAGACATCAAGCAAAGTTCTGGCAAAAATATTGTAGTTGTTTTTGCCCATTCTTAAGCTCTATAGAGTAGCAACTAAATTTTTTTTAAACTTGCAGATTCACAGTGCCTACACAATATTTTCCTTTAGTGTAGCAATTGAAATACTGAAGAGCTAAAAGTAATCAAACACCCAATATGTATTTTCACGGGAAAGGCACTTAGAGCCAGGCTTGGAGGATCCAATCAAGTATGCTATTGCCACTGGTCTTTGGGAGTCTATAGGTCAAATTTATGTCTCAGAGAAACCATCAGATAAAACAAATAAGTGGTTCAGATAATGTGTTCCTTTAGGTTAAACCAAAGTATTTTAAATAAAGAATGGTGTTAGATTTCTTTACCTAAGCAAATTCACAAAGGTTATAACTTCCTTAAAGAAAAAGAAGCCTGTTTTTCTTTCTTCTGCCTAGTTCATAGACAGTTTGTAGTGGGGTGGTTAACAAGTGTTGACTGACAAAGAGAACATAATGGTTTATCTTTTCCCTTAGACCCCTTTCACCTGTTATTCATAAGCCACAACTATAGCGTTGAAATGAAAAGTTGGCAATGCCACTCACCATTCACACGACAGGCTTTCCATTGCTTTTCCACCACTTTCCTGATAAACTCTGGAACCCTGAACTTGTCTGTGAGGTCCTGTGAGCACCCATGGGTCTCACTCTTCTTTATAAAAGCCCCACATGTATGTGTCATGGCATCTGTAACCACCAGCACTCGTTACCTAATGCATCTCTTCTGCCTGTGATCTCTAAGATTCCAGTTGACTCATTACTCCTCAGGAAAAAACTCTGAGAATGGCAACTCATACTCTTTTAAATCCTCATAGTATCATGAACATTCCCTTCAAAATATATATCATTTTGATTTTCCATTTTTTTCCTCATTGATGTGTTTTCTTCCTAGAATGTTATTCCATCAAAGTGTTAAGAACTGTATCTGGCTTTACACAACATTTTATTGCTTGAGCATAGTATTTTGCCTGGCACATATAAAGCATGAAGAAATTCTGTTGAATAATGGAGTGAATAAATGTGTGAGTGCACATGTATGACATTAATAAAGCCACAGAGAGCAAGAGCTTTATTACATAACATCTATTACACTTTCAGCAGCCCCCAGTGGGATAGTGGATTCTGAGTTGCACTGCGAACTATAAGGTCAGCAGTTCAAAACCACCAGCTGCTCCACAAGAGAAAAGATGAGGCTATCTAATCTTATAAAGATTTATAGCCTTAGAAACCTACAGCAGAAGTTGTACTCTGTCTAGTAGGGTTGCTATGAGTCAGAATCAATTCCAAGGCAGTGAATTTTGGTGTGTGCGCATGTAAGCTCATTTTTATATCAAGCCACTTTCAAAACAAGCCATATGTACTTAGGGCCATATAGGCAGAGCAAGTAAAAACTGATGCTCACAATTAAGTATGAAATTTTAATGTAACTGATACTAAAATGCATAAGACATGAACCTAGAAATCATAAGAATTGTAACCAGATCTCTCATTCATCAATTTGTAGTCTTTTTTCTAAGCTAGATTGCCACTGAATTCATTAGTTTCTTTAGGATACTAGGAGACTATTAATATTCTTATATAGAAACTTAATAAATTATAAATGAAGGAATGCTTAGATGAATATGTGCCATGAAAAAGCTACATTTTCCAGAAGGACCATTGTTCAGTAAGGATGACATTCTCAGATGACAGAGTCCTGGGGTGACTGTCAGGGTCACAGAACAGAAGAGATGCAGAAATTCGTTCTGTTCCCTCAGATACATATTTTTTCTCTTGAATCATATTTGAAGCTGAAGAAATACTTGGCCTGAATGAACTGAGTTGTTTATGTAGATAAATAAGGACATAGTGCTCAGGACCAAAAATGCTTACACTTTCACCTGGGCTCTGGCACTAACCTGAACATGACTCATAATGTCTCCATTGTCCATTCTTATCTAGAAATAAATAGATAAAGTGCTCTGGGCTTTGACAAACAGAATCTGGATGAATCTCCACTTACTAAATCAAAATTCTCCACAAGGCATAGGTGCAAGCGTTCTTTCAAGGTGCTATGAGCTGGGGGGCGAGCAGGGAAGCAGAGACTTCTTATTGTCTTTTTAGGAATACACATGATATTTTTAATGTGAAAGCCTATTTTACTTTTAGATAACTTTTATTAAGTTGTAAAAAGGAATTATATCTGAAAACATGACACTTAAATTGTGTTTATGTTTGCTTGTCTATTGATGTTGTTTGTGCCCTGAATTATCTTTAATGAATGTGGATGTATTGTTTTTAAGTTCCTTTTAAAAAGAATTACAGCAAGCACTATGACTACTGGCTGCAGACAGGGCTTTGTTTATACTTCATCTGAATAGAAATCATCTATCCCTAGCATCAATACCTGATTGGTGTTGAGAGGCCTCCATTCTCAATTAATTATTCAATAGTCACTTGACACACATGTAACGGGAAAATGTAAGCAGAATGGAGCCAATCCTACTTAGAACACAGAATCTGTCTCTGTCCCTCCATCTCTCCTCTCTGTAATCATCAAAAGCATCCACCCTTTTGTTTGCCTTCGTGTGTACTGGTGATCTGTGCACTCTTGTTTCTAGCTCAAATTTTCAAAATGAATCAGAGCTCCAGAACAATCCTGATGTATTTGCTTATCTGGGATGAATTGTACTAACATTCAATCATGCATCTGAGAAAATCTGAATTCTTCATCTTATAGGAAGAGCTATCCATTTGCCAAAATAAAATGTATTTCAGAGACTGTTTCTAAGCCTGCTTCTTGTTCACAAATTACTTTTTGCAGGTTTTCTCTACTCAGCACTCCTCCAGATTATGCATGATCCCTGGATGCCTCCATTATAAATGCACAGAAAAATAAAAATTCATTTAAAACACCCTCCCACACAGTACAAGCTGTCGTATCATATTTGTTTCCTAATTTAAGGACGGAAATGATATCTCATGTGTCCTTCTTTAAAATGCATTCTCTATCTTTTAAAATGGCAAGGGGATACGAAGAGCAATGTTCCCCCTAAAATAGGGTTCATTTTTATTTGTTTCTATTAAGTCAGTGCAAAGATAAGTTCTTGAGACACGTATTATATAAAAAAATGTTCATACTAATTATCTCATTCGTGGTTTACAATCCAGTTGAATTTGATGGAGGGAAAGAAATGTATTGTTTTGCCATTGTCAATCACAACTTAAATCCATGGAAATTTACTAACAAAGCTCAAGTGCAGCACACGCCAAAGGAGACGCGGGTTCCCATAAACACTTAAGCCCAAATGCATTGAAAACAAATATCCACATGAAGGCAAGGGACAATACAACCCTTCACTCTTTCTCTAAACCTATAAAAACTACAAAACTCTACTATTGATGAGCCTTGTTCCCCTCCCCCCCAATTCGATAGCTGCTTAAACAATTGTAAATGTTATCATGCTTTCCTTTTCCTAATGTCAGGTGAGAGAGAACTGCCAAGCCTAATAAGATTTACAAGGGCTAGTTCCCCTTAGCAGTGTCAGCAAAATGAGAGAACGAGAGAGAGAACATTACACAATGAAACAGACACGCATCGAGAGCTTTTGTCCCTGCAGCTTTCAAAACCAGATGTAAGAATTCCCTTTTTGTCCACCTACTTTAGCCACAAATGTACTTGTCCATACGTTGCCTGACTTCATCTGACCCCCTAGTTATCTCCTTCCCTTTTCTGACATCTTCGCTCCTGCTTAGCCACTGACACACCTATGTCTCATTCTTTCCAAATCACTCACTTTCTAGTCATAGTTGGGTTTTTTAAATTATTTAATTTTTATTGTTGCTGTTCATGATGTTGTGGGAAACACACTAAATACTGAACTTTATTTGTAAGGAGGGGAAACGATCCCTAAATATATACATATATATTTTAAATTCTTTACTGTGAAGACCCAAGAACAACAAAAATTACAATTTGTTCCCCCATCTTCAGGTATACATCCACATTCAGAAATACACCTGCATAGTCTGTTTATTGGCCTGCAAAAGCTTCCCAATCCAGCAGTGCCTTAACTTTTCTATTATTTATTTTCTTAATGTATTTGTTCATTTGAAGTATGTTATTTAAACTCTAACATTTCTGAACACTCTGTGACCTTCCCACCACTATAAGAAAGTACAGAAAGTACCAAGTTTACTGAATCAACCAATGTTGGACTTGGCTATCACCATGGGAGCCCACATTCATTCCAGGTAGCCTCCTTCCCCTAATCAAGAGCATGTTCACAGGCCATCCCACTTTTTCCATAACCAAGAGCCGGTCTTCACCACAACTTTTAAAAGGCACAGCCATGCCTAGGAACTCGGTCTCTTGTCTCCCGTAGAGTTGCCACATGGGGCATCTGGTGGCATGACATGGTGACCCTCCCCTGCACCTCCTGTCTCACCAAATGCAGGCCCAATCTTGGCATTGCTTGCTCATGTATTCTAGATCCGGGGCTGATGGTAAGAACTAGAGGCGGGCCAGGGCCCAATGCATCTAGGGACCAGCCCGGGCAAAGAACCCGTGCAATGGGGTCAGAGGAGTCGCACTTCGACAAGCCACGGGGAAAGAAGTAGAGTGGAAACAAAGGGCCCCCAGATGGAAAGTGAGCCTGCAAACGGAGACTACGCAGCCACTACGTGGATGTCAAGGGAGGAGGAGGAGGAGGAGGTGGTGATGGTGGTGGTGAGACAGAAAGGCAGGAGGAAACAGACCTCGACCTCCAAGCGAACTGCCACACTCGCTCCCGAAAAGGAAGGCCCCATGCACCGCCCAGCCTCCCTGCGCCCTGGCCAGGCCGAGCCCCCCAGGGGTCGGGCGTCGGGCCCTTACCTTGGCTGCAGTCCTTGCCGCGGAAGCCGGTCCTCGAGCAGTCGCACACGGCCTGGTCGTCCACCACGGAGCACACCCCTCCGTTGAGGCACACCCCACCCTCGCCCTCCTCGCCTGCCTCGCAGGGGCTCCCCCCGCCGCTGCTGGGGGGCTCGTCGTCCAGCTTCACGTCTCCGCTGTCCACCGGCAGGGCCTGCGACGCGTTGACCCGCACGTCGCGGATCCACCCTTTGAAGGGCTCGCGCTCGCGCACTGCGGCCAAGGTCAGCTTGAGCGCAGCGGCGCGCAGCTCGGGCGGGAGGCCCCCGACGAAGAGGCCGCTGAACACCGTCATGTCCCTGCGCTTGGACTTGACCTCCACCCACTTGGCCTCGCCCTGGTCGATGTAGAGGGTGGTGTTGCGGAACTGGCGGCGGAGGCGCACGCTGTGCCAGGCGCCGTCGTTGACCGGTGTGTCGGCCAGCAGCGTGGCGGGCTCGGCGCAGAAGATGGAGAAGCTGAGCTGCAGGCGGCCGCCGCGCGTCAGGATGAGCTCCAGGAAGTCGCAGAAGCCCTCGTCGTCGAAGTAGAGCACGAGGCCCCGCGCGCTGCGCGTCTTCAGCTGGAAGCTCATCTCGCTCTCGCAGCAGGCGTTCCACTTGGGGAAGCGCGTCCACTGGCCCTCGGCGCCCGGGAACTCCAGCCCGCTGCCCAGCTCGGCCCAGCAGCCCAGGAGCAGCAGCGAGAGGCACAGCAGCAAGCAGCCCCCGCGCTGCAGAAGCGCCGTCCCCATGCTCGGGGCTGGGGTGCGGCGGGGGGGTGCCGGGGCCGACAGGGTCAAAACGGTCCGGGACACCGTGATGCCGACTGGAGGGGCCGCAGAGGAAGTGGGCTGCAGTGGGAGGCTGGAGTCGGAGGGGGGCACCCTCCTCTAGCTAGCTCTTTTTTTCTTCTTCTTCTTCCAACAACCCCGTCCTCTCTCCCGATAGTCACCCCCCCCAACGGGAAAATGGAGACCCCAGTGGGGCAGGGCAGCCACGGAACTTCCAGACCCAAGGCGGGGTACACCTTGGAGGCAACGTCCTGGATGAGGGGTTACGAGAAGCCAAGAGGAATCATGGATCCATGTGGGCCCAAGGAGTCGGTTCAGGGTGGTGCTCACAGAGACTTCCTTCACTCCTCCAATACCATCCTCTCCTTGGTACCTCCAGTGGTCGGAGACAGGAAGGGTCAGGTAAGGAGCAAACACTTGTTCTTAGGGAAGTGCCGGCAGTCAGCAGTGAACCAAGATCCTCAGATGCTGGTGTCTCACTTGTTTCTTCCCTAGCTGTAGGGTCTCAAGCTAGAGGGAAGAATGGTGCCCTTGCCTTTGTCCTGGACTCCACTTGTCAACCTCAGGGCCCCTTTAAGAGCCTGCTTCTTTCCTCATAGCGTGGACTTCCAGCATCACTGCAGCCAAAGAAGAATCCCTTGTGCATGAACACACAGGATGGATTTTGCCTCTCCTTTTTCTGTCCTCCGCAGTAGGGTTCAAACACAGACACTGTGAAATAGATCAGCTGTTAAATGTGGCAATCACAACAGTTCCTCTGACCTCCTCCTCTGACCATGCTAAGATGCCAGCATATCAATTGGTTCTGTGTTGTTGATGTGTTTTGGCTTAATTTTGTCTTTTTTTATAAGACCAAGAAATCTGCAGAGAATTAAAATAGAAATTAAGTTCTACATCTCCCATAAATTATTATTCAGCTCAGAAAATGGTACGCAATTGCTGTTGTAAATAAGACAGAGTTAACCTTACTAAATGGGGCTTATGTGTCCTGACCTACAAATAAGCTCTACCATCACCTACTAGTTAGAATCGCATTTAAGATCACCAGTACAGCTTGGTAGTTTGTTATAACTATTTGTAGTTAACCTCCCAACAGCTTTTAAATAGTAACTTCTTTATGATTACCTTTTACTTTTTTCCAAGAAAACTTATTATTCAAAATACATATAAGTGGGGGGTAGGGGGTTGGAGGGGAGTGTTCTTTAAGTATTGTAAATAGCATTATCTGCTTGTTAGAAGAACAATATAAATATAGCCTATCTAGATTTCAGTTAATATCAGATTTTACAACAGGCAAGGTATAGCAAAGTGTGGGAAGAAAGCTGCCTGCTTAAATTTGTGCAGCATTCCTCCCATTTTCTCTTATATTCAGAGGAAAAAGGACTATTTATTGTTTCTTGTGGGTCTGCTTTAATTTTTTAATTAAAATAACAATGGTTATAGGAGAAGATACCTAATTGAGACCACATATGCATTTATTTTTGCCACCATTTAGTTCACAATTGCCACCTTATTTCATCTAAAGCTGGGAAAAGTACTTAATATTTCACCTAGCAGTATATTGGTCTTAACTCCTTCTCCTTATCTGGTTGCCAGCCCAGAACAGTAGTTGGTATGCATGTCACCTCAGATGTTAGGGTTCCAGGAGGCTATGATTCAAAATCATATGTTTGAACTGTTCAGTACACTGTTAAAGCACCTCTTTTCATAAACTCCTTGAAATGACATGGAAATCATAAAGTGTGAACTGGTCCTAAGCCATTCTTCTTTTTACTTAAAAATACTCTCAGCATGAGAAAGAAATCACAATGGATCATCTGGTCATATCAAACAAACCCATGGATTTCCCTGATCATTCTCCACTATCGCCTGACTCCCAAACCTGCGCAAACTCACACACTCACACAGAACACATACACACCATTTATCGTCTGGACACAGATGCTCACTGTCCAATTAACACTTTTTTTTCCCTACAAGCTGAAACTGGCAGTAATTTATGGCACCGCATTGTGCTGCTCCTCCATGGAAGGAACTGAGAGCATTTCTCTTCAGTACAAAGCAGTCCCTACAGGTGTCAGCTGAGAGCCACCAAGCTAGGGGATCCCACTTCAAGTTCCTCCCTTGATGATATTGATGCCTGGTTCTCTCCTTTTCAACACACACACACACACACACACACACACACACACACCTCACTAGTAAAAGAAAATCAAACATCTCGGCTGCTTCTTTACTGTGGCTGATAAATCCTCACTATCAGCAAAAATTGATCATTTCTCTTCTGTATATCAAACCAAAGGTAGGTGCTCTTATAAATCATTCTTAAATAGTATAATATTTAATACACACTCATATTTCATTGAACTTAGGGATCTGCTGATTTTTTAGCCATTTAGTCAATAAATCTGGAATGTCATCGTGTTTTGATTCCATCCACAAGCTTGTGTGTTAGAAAACCAATTGGTGGCTGTTGCTGGAGCTGATTATTTTTATTAATTACTACTACATAGATCACATAACTCCTTTTTGCCCCTCCCTCCTTCTCACTTCCATTAGTGTCTATCTTGACAATTTTTTTAAGGAATGAAAGAGAAGGGCGGAATACCTAGAATACTATGCACATATTCTTATCACAGGGGAGGCTGACTGGCTCTCCCAGTATCTCAGAGGAAGCTCATTGTGAGGGAGAGAGTATCTGTATTTATATGGAGAAAGAGGATCCTCTCTATGTGCAGGAAAAACCTGGTGAGTTCACAAATTAGTGTAGGAAATAAAAGGATCTGAAAAACAACCTTACTGCAGCCAAAGAAGAAGCGCTCTAATTCAAAAGCAGACCAACAGCCTCATTAATCTTTTCTTTCTTTTGTAGAATCAAAATCATTCCCAAGCCACTAGAATGATTGATTTAATATGTTCATCAGCTGCAGCTACATTTATTTTAATATGCTTATAATATCACACACACATATATTTTTCCAAGTACCCTTCAACATGTACTGTCTTAATGAACCTCAAATCTTTTGAAGATTTTTAAGAAGTGGCTATCTTTTTGCTCCTGGCTGTTGCAAAGTCCCTTAATACCAATGCACGCCCAAAATTCTCCCTGGCTTTCCCGCCCAGTCTCTGAACCCCATCCCTAATCCCAGTGCAGTTTCTTGGAACCCACTGAACAGATTAAGGATAGGCACAGCATGGGGCTGATGGGGAAGGAATAAAACAATATAGGCTGTATTTTATCGCTTTGATTTAGAAACTGCCCATTCTCTTCTTCCCTTTGCTAATACATCACTGCATTTAGGCTTTAAGTTATTACTCCAGTTCCACCATCTCATCTGCTTGTCATCTATTTAAAATGCTCCATGCAAAACAGCCAAGGTCTACACTCCCCCACCTCCCACCACCCATCCTTTTCTTTGCATTTGTGGCAGATTCTGGCTCAGTTACAACAGGAAAGATATCCTTCTCCAGCTTGCCTCACCCCAACCCCTCCCCCCAACCCAAATTGAGCTTCTTTACCTGCCCGATTATTTCCTTTAGCTTGAGCCAGAGCCTGAAGCATGCATCGGTCAAAGAGAATTTCCTGAGGTCTATGTCTAAGGCGACTGCCGCTGCCTTTTCAGAGGCGTCAGGCTTGAGCGTCTATCTCCAGGAGTGCGGGAGGGGAGAACAGGCAGCGGAGGGGAGCAGGAGAAGGAGGAGGAGGAGAGGGAAAGAGCTAGGAAGAAGGAGGAGGGGGTAGAACCCAAGAAGGCTGGGTTACGTGACGCCGGGTGCTGTCCTTCTGAAAGAGAAGGGCGGAGCTGAGCTCTCTGCAGCACCATGGAGAGCGCCGGCCCCGTCCTCGGGCGCTGGAGGAGAGGGACTCACGCTCGGCGCAGCCCTGCAAATCCCACGCTGCGGACCGAGGCGTCTCTACCTTTGCTGTGTCCCCCAGGCCGAGGTTGTCCGATTCTGGGGGCGGAGACCTGCCGCAAGCACTTCTAACTTGTCACTTCCCTCCCCCATCGAGAGAGGGAGAGAAAGAGAAAGAGAGAGAGAGAGAGAGAGAGAAACCATGTAGCCTACTGAGCATGCCCAGGCCCCTGCTAGACCCACGGAAGGATGTGCGGAGATTCCACTTCTCCGGGGTTTATTCGGGATTGGGCGGGGGTACCTGAGATAGTGCCAGCAAAGGGCTCAGCTGCCATGGGGAAGGGACCAAGAAGCCCTCGATTCCAGAAGAGCCTTGGCTTTACTTGGACCTTTTGGTTTCTTCGTTGAAAACCTTGAAAAGCTGCAGTTTTTCCAGGAATGCAAGGACAGGCAGAATTCACGGAGGCGCTGGCAATTGCCAAGGTCCAACGTCTTTGCCCCACCCCTTACTGTGGACTTGGCCTGAGTGCACACACCACACACCGAGCGTCTGCTCCTGCGGAGTCACAAGGACTCAGAGAGACCCGCCAGGCTAAGGCACTAACTGGAGGACCAAACCCCAGTCCCTCTGATCGGGTGCTTTCTGCCTTGCTCCTTGGCTGTCCTCAGTTTTCCCGTGTTCTGCCTGGGTCATGGTCATTCCCTGTGAAAGCCAAGTTCTTTGCCTGATTAACTCTTCCCTGGGTCTTCTCCTTCCTTTTGTTTTCGGTAAGCTCCAGAGACAGGAAAAACTCCTGCGAGGCTCTCACTGTGTACCTGGGCAAGTTCACTATGCATTATTGGGCCTGGTGAGAAAGGAGTTAACGCTACGGCAGTTTACAGAAGAGGTATTAGGAAAGCCCGGCCTTAAATCATGGTGTACGTCTGTGTCCTGTGGACATTTAAATTAGTGATCACTTTATATTACTAGTACCGGTCTATTTGGCAACAGAAACAGCAGATTTTTATTTCAATGTGACATACCTAATAGCCTCAGACTCAACTGTTCTAAGGTAAGACTATTTCCTGTCTACATGCCATATAAAGCAAGAATATAAGAAATATTCACATTTAGGAGCACTGAAATGATATACATTTCAATGCAATATTCATTTCTTGCCAAAGAATCCAGAACTCATTCACACGAAAAGCCTAATTATACTTCCAATACTGTTGTAGAACAGTAACTCAAAGTGGGGAGTCACAGGTTTTAACTCTATTTTATTGCTACCAGGGAGACAGTGTGGGTAAGTAGCTAAACATGTACTTGTGAGAAGAAAGTTGCTTAAGTTTGAAATCCATCCTCTCCATTTTTAGCTGCCTGAACTCTCGTGCAAAATACATAACCTTAGGACACCTCGGTCAGCTCATCTGTCGAATAAAAACATTGTGGCAGACACTTCATGAGATTAATGTAATGATTAAGTCAGCATGTGATCTTTAGACTTCTGAATTGAGTGAAAGACTCCAAACTCATTGCCACTGAGTCATCCAACTCACAGGGACCCAAGACAGTGTGTCCAGGGCTTTGCAAATCCATACAACCTCTGTCCAGCTGGTGCGTTTGAACTGATGATCTTGTGTTAGCAGTTCAATGGTCAATTCACTCAATTCAGCTCTTTTGTTTGACCCACGTTCTAACACTATGAAATGGGAGTAATGGTGATTGTCAGTTTCTTTCCTAGAATTGCTTTGGAAATGTAATTAAATAACAACTGTGTACATGATTTCATAGTACATAAATATAATTTTAAATAATGGTAAGCTAAATTTAGGGATGGAGCCCTGCAGGCATAGTGGCTGTGCACGGGGCTGACATGTGCAAGACTAGCAGTGGGAAACCCCCAGTTGCTCCTAGGAAGAAAGATAAGGCTTTCTACACCAGTAAAGAGTTATACTCCCAGAAACTCCCAGGGAGCAACCCTCCCTTATCCCATATGGCCTCTGGGACTGATATAATATTGACTCGATGGCAGTGAGTTTGGGAAATGGGGAAAAAGTAAATATCTCAGATTAAACACAGATTATGTAAACTTGTACCAAAGAAAGTCTACTTAACTCAAGGTCAATTTGTCAGAGTGTGGTGGTCTGTGTGTTGCTGTGATGCTGGAAGCTATGTCCCTGGTATGTTGTTTTCATTGCTGTTGATCTAATGAAGTGCTTCTGTGGGGCTGGTACATGAAAGGAATTTTTTCAGATAGCCACAATGGCCACAAATGGTGATAGTGAAAAAAATGGCTGAGCTCAAAGCCAAAATCTGTCTTCATATTGAGTATTCTTTTGATGACTTTAATATGCCTCGGGACAAATTTTTAAAGAAACAGATCAAACTAGTTGAAGGCTGGATACTACTGGAGATAATGATAAAATTCAAAAGGTTAAACTAACAAAGACTTTAATGTAATAGGAGAAGCACTGAGCAAATCAAAGGTAGAGCTCATGGAAATGAGTGAAGATAAAACTAAAAGCAGAAGATCTCCAAGAAAACCTCTCTCTGAAGTCACCAATGAATATAAGAATGAAATAAAAAGACATCTTTATATTAAATGTTTCCCAACTGATGCAACCCTCGATGACATAAAAGAATGGTCAGAAAAGGCAACAGGGAAATACTAAATATTCAGAGGAGAAGAACATTGCACAGAGCAGTTAAAGGGTCAATATTTGTTGCATTTCAGAGAATTGAATGTGACCCCTGACCAGAAAGAAGTACAAAGACACAGACCTGCTTTACAAGGATGATTACTTTGCAAAAAGAATGAAGAAAGGAGAGAAAAAATATTGGAAGCTAAACCGGAATAAGAAGAAAAACAGAAGTTTGCAGAAGATGCTGAAGTAAAATCTCTAGAAGAAAAAATGGGCTGCTTGCTGAAATTTTCAGGTGACAGATGCCAGACCTTTAGAGAAGATTTGTACATCCTTTTTTGCAAGTCATGGAGAAATCAAATAGATAGACTTTGTCAAAGGAGCAAAAGAGGGAGTAATTCTATTTAAAGAACAGCTAAAGAAGTACTGGACAAAGACAAAGACTCAAGTAACAATAAGCTACAAGTAGATACACAGAGAAGTGATGTGGGAAGTAGTAGAAGGTGAAGCGAAAAAAGCAGCCCTGAAAACAATTGTGGAAGATCAAGAAGAATTCCCGACCAACTCGAAGTCAAATGGTCACAGATGTAAAGGAAAGGGAACAGGAAATAGAGTTGGCCAGGCTGAGTCCGCTAAGAAAAAGTACAGTCTCAGGGCAAGAAAATGAAATTTGACCATGAGCACGAATGTGACAACAACAGTGGTGCAGCTGGACCTGTGAAAAAGGCAAGAGAAGAAGTAGGCAAAGAAGAGCCTGCATCGAAACAGCAGAACACAGAAAACGGTTCAGGAGTCGAGAAGTTTAATAAACCACTTTAACATTCATTGTTTTTGGTTTTTTTCCTTATGTCTAATCTGCTTTTCTCTTTGAAGATTTTTTGCAAGAAAATTGAATTAGGTCCACTTCAATGTCCACATGTAAGAAGGAAAGATATTTTTGTTGTTTTGTCTTTTTGTTATAAGGATGTTTTTTTTTTAATGTATAGCTCTGTGTTAACAGATGGTTCAGAAAGAATGTTCTTCCACTATATTACCTCAATGAGGATATATTAGTGTAAAATTTAATAAACTAGATGCTTTATAAAAAGAGCAACATACAACAACAAAAAAGGAATTAATTGTCCACTTCAAAAGAAGTAACTGCGGAAAACCTTATGCAGAGAATTGCAAGCTTGTCAGATACTGAAGGCCTAACGAATGGAAGCAGAGCATTGTCAGAGACAGGGCCAGAGGATGGGCCCCTCAGGCGAAAAGCATTTGAAATATGACTGAGGAGGTGCTGCCTTCCTAAAGTAGAATTGACCAGGAATAGGTGATGGAGTAAAACCTGGAGGAGTAAAGCTTTGGGGGGTCTTCATTTGTTGATGGGTCACAACTCCGTATGATAAGAAACAGCTGCAAATATTAATTAATAATTGGAACTTGCAATGTGCAAAGTATGAAGCTAGGAATATTGTGACTCATCAAAAATGAAATGGATCACATAAAGATTGCTGTCTTAGGTGTTAGGGAGCAAAAATGATCTGGTAGAGGCCATTTTAAATCAGAAAACCATAGGGCTTACTATACTGAGAATGCCACAATCAAAAGTTATGGCAATGTGTTCATCATCAAAAATCGTATTTTACAGTTCATCTGTGACAGAATTATATCTATCCACCTTCAAGAAAACCCAATCAAGATGCATGGATAATTATTGATGATTGGAATTCAAAAGTTGGCAACAAAGAGGAAAGAACAGTGGTTGGAAAATATGAAGAAATGAAGCTGGAGATCACATGATAGAATTTTGTAAGACCAACGCTTGTTCATAGCAAATAACTTTTGTCAGCAACACAAGCAGCTACTATACACATGGACTTCTCCCAATGGAATGCACAAAAATCTGACTACATCTGTGGGAAGAGACGATAGAAATAGAGAAGCTCAATATCAGCAGCAAAAACCAGGCTACGACTGACTGTGAAAAAGACCACTAATTCCTCATATGTAAGTTTTTATTGACGCTGAAGAAAATTAAAACAAACCCACTAGAGTCAAAATATGAGTCTATCACACCCAAATTTCAAGAACATCTCAAAAACAGATATGATGTATTAAATACTAATGATAAAAATTGGTTGTGTTGTGGGAAGACATCAAAAGTATCATTCACGAAGAAAGCAAAAGGTGTTTTAAAAGAAATAAAACATCAAAGTGGATATCAGAAGAGACTCTGAAAATTTATTTTATTCATAGAGTAGTTAAGGCAAATGGAAGAAATGATGACATCAACGAGCTTAACAGAAAATT